CCTCTCTCGCTGTGTCTCTCTCTGTCAAATAAATAAATAAAATCTTTTAAAAAAATAAAGAAAAAAAAAGGAAAAAAATTTATAGATGAATTTATGGATGATGATCTTTAAAATACTACTCTTCCTTTAGAAGAACAGGGTATGTCTTTCCATTTATTACGGTCTTCTGCATTTCTCAGTAGGAGGAATCTTTTATTTTAGCTTTCTCAGTCTGTAGCAACTATTTGTATAAAGATCTTTGAGGTCCTTGAAAGATAAAGTCATGAACTCTTAGCAACAGTACAAATTCCCATAGTACATACAAACACATTAAATCTTTCTGAAAATATACACACTTAATTAGGAGTCTTAAAGTGTGGACACTAATTTTTTGGTATAATTTTATTGAGGTATACTTTGAGAACAATAAACTGCACATATTTCAAATGTGCAATATGATCACTTTTGATGTATGAGCATACCCATGAAACCATCACTACATTCAAGATAACAAACATTTGTATCATCCCCCCAAATTTCCTAGTACCCTCTTGTAATCTACTCTCAGCCCCAGGCAACTACTGATCTGTTTTCTGTCATTATAGATTATTGCATGTATCAATAGTTCATTTTTTAAATAGCCAAATAGTGTTACATTGCGGACATCCCATAATTTGTTTACCCATTCACCTGTTGATAGACATTAGAATTACTTCTAGTTTTTGGCTATCAAACAGTATTGCTGTGAATATCTGTGTTTAAGACTTTGTGCAAATAGAAGTTTTCGTTTTTCTTAGGTAAATACTTAGGACTGGAACGGCTGGATTGTGTGGTTGGTATATATTTAACTTTGAAACACCACCAAATGTTCTTCAAAGTGATATACCATCTTACACTCCCACCAGCAGTGCATGAGAATTCCAGCTGCTTAACATCCTTGACAACACTTGGTTAATCTTTTACATTTTAACCAATATAATATATGTCATGGTATCTCACTGTAGTTTTTTTTTCCCCCCACTGTAGTTTTAATTTGTATTTCCCTCATGACTAATGATGTTGAGTATCTTTTCAAGTGCTTAAGGGCCTTTTGTATATCTTCTTTCCTGCAAGAAATACAAGTGTTCTGCTGATTCAAGAGTGTTTTAAAGGTATTTTTGTGCAGATCCTAAGTATATTTGAATATTATCATTATAACCATTTTTTTATTTGACTACTTTTCTTATTTCTAATGATTTTTCAGTTGATTTTCTTGGGGTTTCCAGGTATAAAATAATTTCACAAAAATACATAAACAAATAAAAACTGAAAATTCTTTGCCTTCCCTAAAACGGAAATTTTGAGAAAAAAAATGTAGACTGTAGGTCTAGCGGGACTGGTTGAGTAAAGGAAGCCCAGATTAGTCTAAGAAGACCTGCTTATTAGTCCCTCCCAAATTTCAAGTTTAATTTTTTCTTTTTAAATTAGCTTAGTTTCTGAAGTAGATATGCCACCTGGTGATATTTCCTTTTGTAAACAAATTATTATTTGAGGAATTCCTTACCCTTGGGTCTGATCACCTCTTGATATGGTGACTATCAAAACTAAGGACTCTGGAGAGCAAAGAGGTAACAGTGACCCCATGTACACAGTGGTTCTCCACTGGGGGTGATTTTCTCCCTTTGCCCCTCCGGGGCACCTTTGGTAATACTGGAGACATTTTTGACGGTCATGAATGGGGGGAAGTGTATTGGTATCTAGCGGGCAAAGGCCGAAGATGTTAAATATCCTACAAAACACAGGTCAGTCCCTTAAAACAAACAATTATCTGGTCCAAGATGCCAATAGTGTCAAATCTGAAAAACCCTGACTTAACCTAGGCTGCTTTGTACAATCTTTTCCATCTTAATACTTTACGAGTTTGGAGTCATCTAAGACTAAGAACTGGTGAGATAAGCAGGACAGAAATTAGGGAATCTCAAGGGTGGGAAAGGGTAACAAAAAACTAACCAAAAATGAAATCCAAATTAGAATGTTAAATGTTTCCAAAGGTACCTTTTTAACTTCCAGAGCACATTCCATCAATGCTTTCACACTTCCAACTTCACGCAATGTCTTTTTACTATTTACATCTGCTCGCCAAGACAAATTCCTCAAAACACTTGCAATAACCTGCAAATGAAATTTTAGAATAATTTGAAAATAAAATAATTTATAGTTGTTTTGTTTTTAATGCTAGTGGTAAGAGTAGACATCTACTAATAAAGAAATTCCTCCCTAAATGCTAATACAGTGCCAAAAGGAATTTCTACAATATAATTATTTTCCTTTATTCTGGTGTTAATGTAACCATAATTGAAACATGAGACACTAAATACTGAGCCACAGTTTAAATTAATCTAAATCAGGATATTAACCCACTAATATCCAAGAAAAACATCTGAAATTCTAACTGGTACCTGCTGTAAGTCCTCACTTTCAGATTTTAGTTGGGCCACAAGCGCTCTCATGCAGCCTTTCATAGAGCAGAGTGTAGCCTGTAAAATTAGAAATGGAACAGAGGGTCAATAACAAGACAACGTGAAGCTGTGCTTTATTTTTGACTAATAAACTTCAAATCTAGTTTTAATTGTCTCATTTTAATCATCCTAATATTTTACCCATAAAAGCCCCAGAACCAGATTATAGAAGGGAAGTCTTTTGCGATCTGTTCCTTTCCTAATAAACTGGAAAAATAAAATGAGTAAATGATAAGAAATGATAAGCAAAGGGTTTTATTTATTTATTTATTTATTTTTTAAAGATTTTATTTATTTATTTGAGAGAGAGAGAATGAGAGAGAAAGAACACATGAGAGGGGATAGGGTCAGAGGACGAAGCAGACTCCCTGCCGAGCAGGGAGCCCGATGTGGGACTCGATCCAGGGACTCCAGGATCATGACCTGAGCCGAAGGCAGTCGCTTAACCAACTGAGCCACCCAGGCGCCCGATAAGCAAAGGGTTTTAAAGTAAAGTCTCTTCTTTGGATGGAAGTGATATATGTATAACACATCTGTCATCAGAATTTTTAGACACTTGTTCTCGTTCCTGGGAATAGTATTTCAAATGCAATTACAAAGACCCACTGTGTTCCACCTTTTGCCTTTGTTTAGGCATAAGACAACCTACTGAGTAAAACTATGCAGTGGTGTGTGAAGTTCAGTTTTTTTTTTTTTTAATCAGTGTTTAATGAGGAGAGTGAAAAAAGAAAATTAGTGAAAACTAGTTTGTATGAAATTAACTCATACCAGAGATATCTTAAGAAATGGATCTTATAAAACATACCTTGTTGGCTACATCTCCAAAAGTCAAGTTTGTCAAAGCCATTCCAGCATATCGTCTTAATGTAATACTGTAGTGGTCATTAGTTAGCCCATACATTTCACAGTCCACTTGCAATAATTCTGCAATGGCCTGTAGTCCCCCTAATTTAAAAAGGGCAAGAGGAAAAAGACAGTAATCTTAAATAAAACAAGTGGCACCAAGTTTAAAAATTAATTATTAGGAAAATATCTCAAAGAAGGAGAATATATGGTTTAAATACATCTTTAGAATTACAAGCTACAAAAACTGTTATAAAGAACTTCTGTGTAATGCTCAAAATACAACTGATAATGACTCCATTTTCTGCCAGTTCTCTCCACCCTCCACACCCTTGCCTTACTGAGTGAAGTGAGCATTAAACTCTATTTACTGCATATATATTATATCTTGTCATTGATGAAAAAGGCTATGTTCTAACACTAGATGTTCCTGCATGAGGCAGAAAAAGGTAACTTATTTTTATTATTACAACTTTACAAACATTCTTCAATGTTATACACTGTGGCCTAATTACTTTAATGTTTTTTATTTGCCAAATAATTATCCTTAGGAATCCTGAGACTTTTAAATGAAACTGTGCATGAAGCAAAGCTTATTTTTTTAATGAAAAAGAATTATCTGTTCAACTTACTAAGTTCTATAAAACCATTTATTATTTATTATTTATATATTTAAAAAAATTTCTTAACTTTGATACTCACAAGTGTCGAATACCAACTATGCTAGGATTTAATATTTTCTTTCCCCTTGATTCCCACCACTGGGTATGCCTGACAATGCCCACAGTGGTCAACACTAGGAAGGCAAGGAGAAAAACGAAGGAAAAGGAAAGGGAAAGATAGAAAGGAAAGGGCAGTAACAAAACAGAACAACAAAAAAAAAAACAAAAAAACAAACAAAAAACAAAGGTAAAGCACAATGGTGAGTGAGTAAATAAAAATAAAAATGTATTATGGAAGCTATTCAAAATATTTATCATCAATATTAATCATTACGGGACTGGGGATATTGTTTTGTCACAGAGAAGTGGCTTAGACAGAAAAAAGGAGGATGAACATAAATAGGCGATTCTTGGAAATTTTAAGTCTAGACAGTCAGGTTATTAATTTGGAAGAAGACCTGTACGTTTAGTATTTTCATAAATGATCTAGAAGGGTCAGTATGTAGAGGAATCCACAAGTTTGTAAAACAAAGTTCTAACTTGGGTCAAGAATTGCAAGCCAGGAGAATTAACTGTAGGAAGACTGGTGCAAATCTTTATGACTAGCAGCAATGACAGATGAGTCTGAATGTAGATAAGTGAAAATTACTTTGGTTAAGGAAAACCCAAACCATATTTAGAAAGATTTTCTTCCATCCACCCATGATAATGGAAAAATACATAGCCAGTGAACACAATACAGTCACTATCTTTATGGAGCTTATACATTAGAGCAAAAGCAGACCCTGAACAACTAATTTAGGCATAACAGACTGTGTAGAAGCACAGGGAAAGGTAACAGGTGGACTTACCCTAGATTAAGAGTATCAAGAAAAAGGCTGAGGAAATAATGTTTAGGTTAAGAAAGACTTAAAGGTGAATGAGTATCTAAAACAGGTGGGGCAGGAATAACAGAAAAGCATTTTAGGCAGATGAAAAACAGTATGTGCAAGAGCCCTTGAGCCTGAAATACACAGCAATAAGGAGAAGGTCTCAAGATGAGGCTACAAAATGGGTAGAGGCCGTATCGTGCAAGACTTTATATGTCACACCAAGGATTTCTGACAGGGGAAGGAATAATTAAATGTACATTCTAAATAGATTCCTGTGGTTGCAGGATGCAGAATGGATAACTGGAAGTGGGGAGCCAAGACAAAGATCTGCAGAGTAGGAGAGAAGATAGTGGCCTGAACTGGGGATGGAAAGAAGAGCAGTGATTTGAGATAAATTTAAGAAGCAGAATTACAGTACTCAGTTACTAAATGCAGGGGATAAGGAGGATAGAGTTATGGGATGTCTTCCGAAGATTCTGACCTGAGGAACTGGGTTGACTGCCATGCCATTTTCTGAGAAAAAGAACCCTGGAAGAGACAGAGATTTGGAGTTGAAGGAGATAACAAGTTCAGTTGGGGCAGTTGAGTTAAAAATGTCTGAAAAACCATCTAAGTGAAGATGTCAGATGAAGAATTTGATAGTGTGCCTAAAACTCAGGAGACAGAATGTGGATTAACATGTAAATCTGAAAAACACTGTAGCTGAAGCTATGGATTGAAGGATATTGTTTAGAGAGAGACGAAGAAAACCTAGGACAGAGCTTTGAGGAATTCCCACCATTTAATACTTGAGTAAAAGAGGAGGAGCCAGTAAAAGAGCTGAGGGTTTTGACTCAGGAAATTGACTTGGGAGTGACTGATGATCTAAAGACCACGGCCCTGTATACTGGTAAGATCACCAAGATGTTGATCATTATAAAGCAGGCTATTGATACCAAAAGAAACATACTATGCTTTGTGCCTATATAAAATCCTGCGTGGTGTGGCAATATCTGTGATACTTTCTTAAGAAAGGTGAAATAATCTAATAAAGAAGGTCTCAAGAAGGCACTAAATGAAGAAAGAGTTTTTTTGAATGGAAAAACTGAAATACTAGGACTTGATTCTGAAAACAAAGATTAAAGAAGGATATGGTCAATATCAACAAAACCATGAGGAAAAAAGAACATTCAATAAAATTTAGGATATCAGATAAAAGAGAGTCTTTTATGATTTCAGGCAAATGAAAACTTTCTGTAAATTTTAAGGCAATGAATAAAATTCATATGTCAAAACTACAAATGGATTCACAAAAATTATGATGTGAATTCATGACTGATGGAATAAAAAACAGATTGCCCTTAGAAAGGTTAGGCTGTTTCAAGGTAATGCAAAGATGATAAGCATATTCTTTCACATTTTGCTCAGTGTCTATGTTTAAAAAAAGTGGTCCAGATGGACCAGGTATTATTCAATGTGCGATCTCATAACCTTAAAGCTAGTAGAGGACCAATGGTTTCAACAGAAACCATGCAACAGAACCCTTAGACTTAGGTATATAAAAAAGATAACAGAAAGATGACACTTAGTTTTAAAAAGTATATTATTTTCCTTTTACTTGGGTTAGATAGTCACCATTAGCATGAAATGCCTCATTCTAAAATAAACATTAGGGGCCCAACATAAATATTCTATATATTGGTGTTTCACAAAATTTACTGATCATAAGAATCACCTAGGCCACTAATTAAATGATTTCTAGGTACCCCTCTGGAGATTCTGCTTTACTAAGCTTGCTTGCTACAGGGCCAGAGAATCTATATGGTTTGACAAGTATCTCTGTGATTGTTATGATCTAGTTTGGAAATACTAATACAAATAAATTGTGAGTTCCTTTAAAGTCAGAACCATATCTTCACCATTTTTACTAGCACAGTTTCTGGGACAGAGCTGGGACTTAATCAATGTATACATCACTGACAGCATAGTCTAAAACCTGCAACTCTAACAGGTGCAAACCTAAGTGACTTTGATAAGTTGTAGAATCTTCTTGTATGTACAAATGACAGTTCCAGCTGACTGGGCTCAGGAATTTCCCTTCATCTATTTGGGACTTCATTCCTCCTTAGCCCTCACTGTCAGATACCTTGTGCTTCCTTACTCCCATCTCCCCACAATCCACATCCTTGATTTATCTTTTGCTTTGTGCAACTTTAGAGGCTAGGAATGAGAAGAAAGTAATCCCCTGTGGCTCTGTCCCCAACAGTCACACCCCCAGAGGCCCCATCCTGCTCCTCACCTGAAAGCCCCTGCCCTAGCTCCTGTGATGAAATGCCCCGGGTAGCCTTCCTACCTGAAGAAGGAAGAGGAACAAATACTGAGTCTAGGTTTTACTTTGAAATTCAGATTCATGTGTCAGTCCTAGTCTACAGTTCATTGGAACACAGGGACATTTACAGAAAAACCTTTGCTGTAGTTTAAAATTGGATTAGTTTTCTTATTTATTCAAGATTTTTATCTGCTTCCCATTATTACTAGCATTAAAAAAATAACCAAACATAAAATTTTCACAAATGCTGAGACTGCTGAGGAGGGGAGAACCCGTAAGACCACACTCAGTTCCACAGGAGGCTGGGGTATGGGGGAAGGAAAGAGAATCAGATGGGCCAACTGCAAGGGCCTGTGGGAAGAAAAGCATGGCTGGAGGGCAGGCCTGAGATCACAAAGTACACAGTCCCCCATAGTGATGACTCTGAAGGAGACAACACTCATTTTTGGCCGTGCAGGTTTTCTGTGTTTAAGAGTCTCATGATTTTGTGACTTTTAAGATAAATGATGAATGACAATGATGAGGGTGGTAGGAATACAAAGTGGGGCTGGGATGTAATGTAAAATAAACAGCACAAAAAGCAAGGGCACAGCTACACTAAGATGGGAACTCAGTGTACGGTTCTTGCTTGTGGCATAACTAGACAGATCCAGTTCCCATGAGATGGCTCAGCATGATGCAATTTATAAATACCACATGCGAAATGAACCTAGAAATCAAAGAAAAACCGTTACATGACAAACGGGGTGCACAAAAATGCAGGTTATAAATAAGGTTTAGAGTGTGTGATAACACATACATAAAAGAGTAATCCTTCCAAAATTAGTGGAATATTTCTAACTTAAATTAGAGCATAATGCTTTTCTTCATTAACCAGTTTCAAAGATACCATGCCACTTATCATGAAAATCCAGTAAGTACTGATAACCATGAAGAGAAATGAGAATCTTAATAATAATTTCTTCTGGTGTCCATCAGAAGTGATTGAGTTCAAGAACAATCACGTAGCTCCGCATTTCAAAATAATTTAAATTACCCTCCCCATCAACTATCACGGAGGGTCTACTGTGGGAACAGGGGCAAGGAGTGGCCCACTTAGTAATCTTTCTAATTGTTGGCTAAGATTTTGAAAAGCCAAGTTAGTTTATACAGGGTAGCAGTTTCTATCATTAAGAACCTTTCCTCCTCTGGAAACCAGGGCATAATCATTTGCTATAAGGAGGAAGAAGGTGGTAACAGAAATTAGTGGCCTTATACCCAATTCAACGATGCTGAAAAATCTTCAGTACCCTTCTATGGCATTAAGAAACATTTCTGTCTTACCAAGTTCATTCATTGCATGTCTATGCTCTTCATCAAATGAAAGTTTCATTAGAACACACACAGCAGGACAGATCTGATGTTCAACAGGGGCTGGCACTGAAAAATAAAATTGACATAGACCATAATGCTTTGTTTTTTTCAAAAGCAACAATGTTTATTATATTTAAAAAAAAAGCAGGGCTCACTAATATATCCCTAATGCATAATAGTTTAGTAGATCAACAAATATTTGCTGAATAGATAAATACTACCAACATGGAAAAGAAAATATGAGTAAAGGGCTTTTCTTGGTTCCAGAAAAATGTTTACTCCTTATCTTCCTTTAACTATCTCTGTTAGAATAAATCCCTTGCAGGTTTATACTATAACTCAAATAATAATTTAAAATTATGTTGAATATGTAAAAGAATAAAGATGCTTTGGTATAAAGCTGTTTTTGTTATAATTTCTATTTAAACTATTGTCACGAGTGTGGGTTAAAAGCACTTATTTGTGTACAAATATAGTAAAGAAATCTAGCACAAACCTGTGGAGAAAGCTTACCATATAGACAGTAAACAAGAATCTAAAGAAGAGGTGTCCAAGAAAATGTACCTCCACATTTAATACCATGCACACAGTTTCAAAGCTCATTATTTGAAATAAAAATTTAAAAAGTAAGTCTATTTTTCAGAAGTAATATTATTTTATTTAAGCATTTTGAGAACAGTTATGAAGATCACAAAATACAAGTTATTACATAACTGTTGATACCCACAGAAAAAAATCCAGAAAGACCATGTTCTCTCAGTAAAGTATCTTATTAGTTTTCTTTATCCCTAGGACAAAAAGATATAAAGGACTATTTCTGCTATTTTCTTATTCTTGAAAATTTGTAAATTTTAAATAAATTCACCTTTATACCTAAGCTAAAAAAATCTGCTAAAGCTTCAGAGAAGGTGTTCTCACCATCACCCCTTCTACTGCTCCCTGAATCAACAGGTTGATACAATTGTCCCCTGTCCTGTGTATGTGGATGTGTTTGTGTGTGTGTTCTTATCAGGTAAAAGGAAGGTCTTACCTTATATACTTGCTGCTTTTGGTTCTTGCTACAGGAATGAAGTAAGTTATGTCCCCAAGGGTCCCAATTCCTAACTTCCCTGCTCCTGATGGAGAGGAGTTGGTAGCCCAGCGCTTCTCCGCACAGAGCTGGGTGGCTGATCAACCCAAGCAACTGGGACCTATCGCCTGAAGCAGGAGGGTGCGGTGGGAAGAGCACTGGGTTGACAGTCAGAAGATCTGGCCTCTGTTCCTGGCTCTACCACTTACTAGCTATGAGGCTACAGGCAAGCCTTTTAGTGTCTCTGAGCCTCAGTTTCTTCATCTGTAAAATGGACATGATAATACCTTCCCTTCCTACTCCAGGAGTTTGTTGTGAAGCTCAAATAACATAACAGATTTAACACAGCTTTGTATCCACTGAGTAGAGTGTTGTGCAAATGTAAAGATTATGGCTTGGTCACTAACTGCTGAAGGAACTAAAGTCACATTCTTGAGCTTAATCTATAAAATGGAAGGGATGGAAACATAATTGCTCAAGTTCTTTCTAGATTATTATGCTGTGACTATAAATCTCTCTTAATCTCTCGTTCTTTTTTGGTTGCATAGTACTGCATGTAACATTTTCCTTTACTATTTTTTTTTTCTAGAAAAATACAGACCTAAGTTTTAAACTATGTTAGCAGTGTAGATGGCTACTATAAACTTCCCATTCCAACTCATAAAGACAACATACTACCTAAAAAAGTTTTCATTTAAAAAATGTTTACATTTGCTTTTTGTAACATGCACTATAGGGAACATACTTGGATTTTTGTCCTGGTCCATGCCTTGTTCATGGGCTTCCTGCCACTCCCAACAGGTTTCACAGTAAGCTCGTATCTGTTCCAAAAGATGAAGGACTCGGATTTCACGCCTGCCTCTCTTGTCATCAGGCTGTGAGTGAATGATGTTGTGAAGTGCTGCACTGGCCCTGGCCCGAGCCTCTTTACTGCCCCGGGAATTTCCCAACAACACAGAGTCTTTGTCATTGCCATGTAAAAGCTGGATGAGGAGAGGAAGACATCCAGACTGTCGCATGGATATACAGCTGTCTTGGGAGCTAGACATAGCTAGCAAAGTTCGCGACATATCATCCTTATCATGAGTACCAAGCATTGACAACAATGAATACACCATTTCCACCTGTGGGCCAAATGAGTTTAGAAACAAAATTATGACTTTAATATCCAAACGCTAACACCAATGAAGTGATGAATGGGATATTTATTGTAACTCATTAAAAAGAAAAAACTCAAAACCCCTTTCTAGGATGAAGTAATGAGTATTATTTCAAAATCCATACCCGTATTTCAAAATCCATCACCAATTTGTTTATATGAGTAAATAGAAGTAGGTGGCATACAGTGTTGAAAGAGAAAGTAGGTTCTCACATAAAGTGCTGTTTGTCTGGATCAGCTGGTCATAGTGAATGACAATTGATATCACACACACACACACACACAAAATGAGGAATGTGGTTTATTTAAATATTTTACATAATTTAAAAATTTTACTTCTTTTAATTTACAACTATAATCAATAAATAGAAAACAATTTCAACAATTATTATTTACTAAGTACTAGTTCTCGACAATCACTAACCCTTGCCAGATTATGTTAAAAGTGTATGATTTCTCCCTTAAACATACAAAAATATTTTGTCATAAGAAGAAGAATGCCATGATCACATAGGGAGTACAAGGCTAGGATTCTTAATTTTCTTTTTTTAAAGCATCCAGTAAGCACCAATTACTCTCTGACAATAAATTCTAAGGGTTTATTCAGAAGTAGAATAGAAACTGGAAAGAGTACCCAGTTATCCTGGATTGTAATTAGCCTCATTTCAAAGCCAGAGTCATTACATAAAAGTAGAGGCTATTATATAAAGAATGTATCATCTCTATAAATCAGTGGTTCTCAATCAGGGGTGATTTTGGCCGTCCTAGGACACTTTGGGCAATGTTTTGGAGACATTTTTGGTGGTCACAACTGTGAGAGAAAGTGCTATGGGCATCTACTAGGTAAAGACCAGGGATACTGCTAAACATCCTACAATAAAGAATTATCCAGTCAAGAATGCTGAGGCTGACAAACTCTAAATAAATACACACTACTCTTAGATATTAATGTTTTAGGAAGGTGGTACAGAACTGTGGATAAACTGGGCTTTCAAATTCTGGTTCCACCACTTATGAATGAACTGTGTGACACTATCACGTTATTTGATTTCTCTGAGCCCCAGTTTTCTCAGTTACAAAATGGAGAAATTTACCTAACAAGGTTTTCTCTGTGAAGATTAAATGAAATAATACATGTATAGGAAGAGTAGCTGGCATTCAAAAATGTAGCAAGGTCTTAATATTATCATTCATAAGTCACTTCAAAAGGCAATGGTATTCTAGCTGCTAGTTTTCATGCAACGGTCCTGGTGAATATTAGATTTTCTTTATAGTAAGAACTACACGTTGATGTTGGACAGACCTGGGGTTGAAGTCCAATTTAAATATGCAACAGCTGCCTAAACCAAATTTTTTGCTTCAGTTTTCTCTTTTAAAAAAGAGGGACAAGAATACTGCACAGTGTTTTCGAGAAGATCAGAGAAAATGTACACACAACTTCTAGCGCAGTTATTGGCATATGAGAGGTCCCAATTAGCAGCTATTGTGAGTTATTAAAAGGATGAAGTCTCATATTAACAATATTGTTGATTATTCTAAATTCATTTCTTAAATCACATTAGTTATTTCAGTAATGCTTTTCATAAGAGCCATTATATTGTTAAAGAAAGAATAGGTAGAGTATGTTGTGAAAACAGTTAATGGAATTACTTAGATTTAACTGAAAATATACTGTTTAGTTATATTAGAATTTCCTCTTTGTCAATATAATATTAAAGACTCTGGCTTTAAAACAACAATGAAACAATTGTTTTCTTTTTAAACACACCATTCTCAAGTCCTAAAATATTTGCTAATATCTGAGAGACTAAGAAAACTCACTTATCAGCACTGGGTAACATTCTATTTCAGTAATTTTTCCATCCACTTAAGTAAATTTATTAAACACTCATTATGTGCAGGCTCTGTGGTAGATGTCACAAAAGATTAAATAAAAAAAAGTCCCTATTCCCCAAGAGAGTTTCACGCAAATTGCAGTGACTCAAAGGAGGTAGACAGACTGCATGGGGAGGTAAGAGGACACTGGGAACCAGAAAACGTTTTGTAAAGAAGTAAAACCCAAGCAGAGTGCTGCTGGCTGCCTCGGATTCTGACAGCCATTTGGGAGTGGGGTGGAAAGGGGAGGTGGTACTACCTCAGGCAACGCACGGAGGCAGAAAGTCCCACGGAGTGCTTGGGAAGCAGCAAGTAAGTAAGCCAGTCTGGCTGGAGCTTAAGATACTTGCAGAGAAGTGGATGATATGGCTGAGAAAGAGTAAAAAACTAGCTAAATTGGCACTTTTTTATAATCCTCATTTTTCCTTTGTACTCTTCTGTATAAAGATGTTTCTTTAAGAAGAGACTGGGGTGATGGAACCAGAATTCTCTTCTAGTTGAATTTAAAAGATGAGTGAAGAATGTTTTAGCAAAGTACTCTTAGTATTAGTGACCAGAGTTTATAGTCTTCTGTTACCTTGGTTCCCAGATGACTTGTCAACCTTCGAGGAGCAGAGTGTGTGCTACTAGAACTCAAAACACTGGCTGTTTCATGATCCATTCGTGTAGTTGAACCCTAGAAATTAAGCAAATTATGGATAGTATAATTTAGATTATAAATAAATAGAGTTAACTTCATGTTAAGGTGCACCAAATGAACTGTCTTTAGGGTAAATAGCTAAATACAGCATGAAAAGTGTGGACATTTTAACTGCTCAAAATGAGTATTTTTACCTGTGAACTTAAGTAGATTTTAAGGAAAAACTGAAGAAAAGTTAAATACAGTGTGGGAAATAACCAAACACTGAAGAAATTCTAAGAGTGGTATTTTTTCAAAGATCAAAAGACATGAAACCACATTCAGTTAAAGATAAATTTATTGATAGAAAGCTTTATTAGTTGATGAAATGCTCTAAATTACCACAAAACTAATTTGGAATTTGGTATAGTCCATGTTCTCCAGGAACTCACAGTACAGAGAAGGACTGCTTAAAACTTAATTAGAGAAAGACATGAAAAGATCAGTAACTGCACTGTGGGATGATAAGCACCATAGTATAAAAAGGTATAAAATACTGAGGAGAAAAAATAATAAAGTATTGAAGGAAAACAGGAAGAAACAACTACTTGGTATAAGGAACTATTAAAGGTTGCATAAAATAAGTAACATTTAAGGTAGGCCTTGAATTCTGGGGTAGGAGACAAATGCAGCAGTCTGTATAAAGGTATAAATATGGAGAGCATGGGGTTTGTTTAACGTGGACAGAACACAAGGTGTATGATGGGAGATGAAGGTTGGGTTAAATTATTAAGTGTCTCATGAGTCATTTTAAAGATGTTGCTTTTAAGCTGTGGATGTTGTAGAGCCACTAGACTTTCGGCAGGAGGGTGGCACAGCCAGAATTATATCATTATTTATTTTTTAAGTTTTATTTTGTAATCTCTACTCCCAACATGGGGCTTGAACTCATGATCCTGACTGAGATCAAGAGTTGCATGCTCTTCTGACTGAGCCAGCCAGGCACCCCCAGAATCACATCTTTAAAAGAGTATACAAAGACAGAATGGAGAGATCACAGTGGGAAATCAGGAAGAGGGTGCTTTCAATAGCTGAGCCGTCATGAGGGCACAAAGTAAGGAAGTAGGAATAGGGAGTTGGGGATACCCTGTATTTAGAGGACAGAATCAATTGGTTTGCTAATTGACTAGATGTGAGAAAAGAGATGCTGGGAACCAAGGACAACTTGGAGGCGCTGAGCTTGGATAAATGGGCAGATAGTGCAGGCAGTGTGAATACAGGAAACCCAGGAAGAGATGATGGGTTTCAGTGTGGGACCTGAGATCACCAATCAATATACTGACATACAGTAAAAATGCACAATGGGCATCTGAAAACACAAGATGCAACTCTGGACAGGAGTAGGGACTACAGATAAATATGTGGGACCTATCAAAATACTGGCTATACCTAAAGCCATTCATTAATGATTAAGAATAATGATTATAAGAATATATCCAATTAGAAAACAATACTGGCAGGTATTCTGCTACAGTTCTTAATCTTTCAAAAGGAAAAGCTAGAATATAAACTCTTTGAGGGCAGAAACTTTATTCTGTTCACTGTTATATTCTCAATACCAAGGGTAGTTTTAAGTTCATAGTAGGTATCCACAAAATATTTGTTATGAATGAAAGAGGAGCTAGTAGTAAAATCTGTAAGAATATCTGGGCAGAGGACACCTTTGCTGGTTCCTTCACATATAGATGCTCTCGCTAATTGGAGAAGGGGGTGTGGCAAAGGGGTGTTTTTCCCATTATGGGAAAAACAGGTTTGAGGATTGTGAGTTGTTTATTTCTACTCTGGAGGGTTCAATGAGTTGGAAAAAGTCACTATCTCTGAATGTACCCAATATCCCTAAATTTTGGAACCAACAGACCTTGTAATTTCCTTTGTGCATTAGCCTCAGGGCAGCCCAACATTAAGCAAAGGCAGAAGCATTAAGCAAAGGTAAGAAAGAATACAGTGTGTGGCGGTGGGAGTCGGAGTGGGGACAAAACTGCAAATAAATTTGGACATAAAGAGCTTATTCTGGTTGTAATAAGGAGGATGGATTTGAGGAACCAAGATTCAGGGTAGAGAATAGTCCGGGTTTTCTTTTAAAGTAAATTTCAGGCAAGGATTCTTTCTTGGTCTACAGGAGAAGGTGAATGACTCTGTATCCTGACGCAAACATATTATCTTTGAGGATATCTGAACGTTTGTGGTAGGTAGGCTGTAAGGCAACCCCAGTGATCCTTATCTCCTGGCAGTCATGCCCTAATGTAATGTAATCCCCTCGTTTTGAGTGTGGGCTTAGGGACTGGATTCCAGTGAAAAGAATGCTGCAGAGGAGATGAGACGTCACTTCCAAGATAAGGGTACAAGGACTGTGCTTCCACCATGGGTACGTACCCTCTCTTGTTTTCTCTGAGGGAAGCCAGCCACTATGTTGTGAACTGCTCTATGGCCAGGCCCAGGTGGCAAAGAACTGATTTCTCTGGCCAACAGTCGGTAAGGACATAAGGTCTGCCAACAGCCCTCTGGGTGAGCTTAGAAGCAGATCTTTCCCTAGTCAAGCCTTGATATGACTGTGGTCCCAGCCAACGCCATGACTGTAGTCTTATGAGAGACCCTGAATCAGAGGCACTCAACTAGGCTGCACCAGGATTCCTGACCTACAGAAACAAATGTTTGCTGTTTTAAGCTGCTACATTTGTTAGGTAGCAACAGATAACTAACACACTGTTTGAAACAAAAGAGAAACAAAGAGCTAAATTATAAAACAAGGGAAAACCTATTTTTACAATAAAAAACATGTTTCTGGCATTCATTTCAGTGTAGATATCAAATTATCTTTAAGCTTCAATCTAAGTATCTTCCTGTACTGAAAGAAATCAGCTCCTTGATTTTGGGACACTTCCCCTTCTCCCAATCTACCGAGATAGAAATTCAGATACTTTTTTTTTTTTTAAGATTTTATTTATTGGGGCGCCTGGGTGGCTCAGTTGGTTAAGCGACTGCCTTCGGCTCAGGTCATGATCC